ATGCACGGCACTGCATTTTGCACACTGGACAGTTTTTTATTATCTCACAATTGCTTTCTTGTTTATTCAAAATCAGATTCAGTTTCTTTCATATACTTACATTTCCAATTTGTAATACCATGTCTGTATGTAACATCATTTAGGGAACTTTTCATAAATTTCCCTTTGCCTTACCCCAAAGCTCTCATTCCTTGCAAAATCAAATCCTTTCCTTTTAGTAACATGGTTTGAAGTTGCCTGTCAGCTACAATGAGGTTACACAGTCTCCAACATTTGTGCCACCTGAAGCTTCAGAGCCTCTTCTGGGAAAATTTGAAGGATTGTAAGTGCTGTTCTCTAGTTCTTTGCTGAGCTCCCTGGCTGGACTGAGAGATTTAAGGGTTTTCCTTTACTTCTGTTTCTTCAGTGATTTACTCCATGGTGCCAGAAGTAAACATGGTATGGTCAGGAGTGGTGGTCAGAAATGCTTGGTTATTTTCTGGACTCACTCATTTGATGTGGTGTGGGCTACACACAAAATTTTACCTCTGATACACAGCTAAAGCTATAGATTTCCCCACCTCCTGCTTGAGGCAATACTGTGCTGTAAATGAGAATGACCCACTGCAAACTTAGGTCCACTGGAGATGTCTGCAGAGCATTTCTGCCTGTATTTTTCGGGTTGTTTTTTTTTAGGGAAACCTTTGTGATTTCACCTTTTGGGGAGAAAGATTTGTTGTACAAACGCTGTGACAGACTGTTATAAAATTTACTGCTAGAGTTTCCATCTATTACCTACAAAAAAAAAGACAAAAAAGCAATTTCCAAAACTAAAAATGACTGCACACAAAGTCAAATCACTAGTGCCAATAGTAGGGGCACATGCCTGGGGTTGAAATGAAAGACAATGTAATATTCTTTTCCATGTGACTGACAGAGTCACTGCAACTGGCAAACAATGCAATTCTTGCAAAACAATGTTCCAAGAACCTATATTAGGATAAAAGTCTCTTCTAGGTTTCAGTAAAAGAAAAGATTTACAGGTGGGAACACAAAAACCCATGAGGTTACAGTTGTGCTATTTCACTCTGCATTTCGGGAAAAAGTTTTTAGTTGTTGCATTTAATTGTCTTTTCTCTTCATTGGAAAGCAACAATTTAAACAGGTTATGTCTAAGTCAGAACAGACAATGCCAATTCCATTATTATACCCCCTCAGACTTTTGTATGCCTGGCATTAAGAGACTTGATTTCTTTCAACCTTTTGAAATGCAATGAGGCACTTCAGTCAAAATGCAAATAAAATGCTGCAAATTATTAAGATGTAGCCTATTAAAAAACTTAAAAAATATAATATCAAGATAAGGAAAACAAACTGTGTTAATACTTACAGGTAAAACGTCTTTATGGTGTAGAACGTCTTAGAGAAATACACCTTCATGTATTTGCAGATTCCCTGTATTGCTTCCTGCAGCAAAACACAATGAGCCCTTGCCCTGCATTGTGACTGCCTTCTTATAGTCCCTGTGTAAATACGAACACCCTGAAACATGACCCACAAGGAAATTCCTGTTTCTGCCACGGAAAGCAAATTAAAGACTCTTCTGAAAGGGGAAATCCAGAAGATTAATCTCCACTTACAAGCGATGAAAAACATGCACATTTGAGGCAGCCATAAATGCCTCCCGTGAAGAAAAAAGCCTGGAGACGGCTTGTTTTTGTTGGTTCATCTTTCTAAATAGTTCCTTGGTTTCCCCTGAGCTGTGTCTAAAATAACATATCCACCCATGACTGGAAGATAAAACAACATTAAGAACCCTAAATGATCATAAAGTACAATAAAATGTAACCAGGTTCAGATGTAAAGAACAGCATTTACTAAAACATACAGATTTCTCATGCTATCTATGTAATGACAACACATCTTCACTGCAGGGTTAATGTCTGCCTTGGTTATAGGTGAAGTTTTTGGATTCTCTCCAGAAACATCCAGCATATCGTTCATGATTATGATTTTACACACTAAACCACTTGGCTAATCCTGCAGATGGTAAGGGCATTGCTTTTAGACAGAAAAGAGTTATAAATTTGATCAGGAGATAGGTTAAAAGGCCCTAGAGCTTATAAATCACTATTCAGCTCCCTGGTCTTCCTCAAGTGAAAGGTCAGGCCTCCTTACTCTGAATGGGTTCCTTCAGGCTCTTAGGCTGCTGACACAACCCTCAGCATGTAAACGTCACCAGTCAGACATGATGTCTGTGGGTGGGAAATTTTAATCTTAAATAATATTAATGTTTTTTGGACATGATCTAAGTTAACGTTCCATATAGCAGAGGCACTAGTTCTGACACAAGGGAATGTTTTTCTCTCTTTCTCTCACTATCACCATCAGTTATCTTTCCAAGTTGCCTTTCCTCTCTGGCAGTGTCTTCAGGTATTTTATGTGGATCTTTGTATATTTCATACACTAGAACTAGCCTGAAAGTTTTTTAAGATTCAACCTCAACCTCTACCTTTCATTGTAAGTCAGCAGGTAGACTTCCTATACTCTTTCGTGCCATACTATCATCTTTTTCCAGGAAACCTTTGGTCTACCAGGAGCCCTCTTGCAAATGCTGGGAGTGCCCTGTTGGCTTGCCACGTTAGAGCACCAAGGAGCTTCAAATAACACTACTACTTTGGCTTGTTTCCTCAGACAGACAGCTACCATTTCACCTATTAGTTGGAAATTCCCAAGCTGTCCCTATTTAATGTCCATCATGGTAAATGTACAACAGAATCTGATAAACACCTGCTCTGTCCACCTTTTTTTTCTCTCTTAGACATCATGTCGAATAGGGCAAATATCTTTTCCTACTCTCAGAGGAAATTCATTAATAGGAACTCCTCTGATTCTTTCTCAACAGTTCCTTGTAGGCTAGACCAGGGACTACTTCTAGCAATTTTTATATTTTCCCAATGCTTCTAAGCTAAGATAAATTTGCTGTAAGTTTTTTGTTTGGTTGGTTTTGTTTTGTTTTGTTTTAAAAAAAAACATCATTCTCAAAGAACCTTTAAGTAAAAAGCACTACACAAGAGGAAATGTACTCCTTACCTGTTATGCTGTTACGTTCCTTGGCATTATTTTAAAAACTTAAATGACCTGTTTCAGAGCCCCTACTTGCTTCTTTGTTCCCAAGACTCTCTGGCTTCAGAGCTACAATGGATCTGAATGAAAGGATAGTTTTGGAGAGGGGAATTTTGTTAACAGAAATTTAAGAACAGGCTAAACCTTCAGCAAATAAACACCAATGAACTATAAAGACACGAAAGAGCTTCCAGAGAAGTTACAAATACTGAAATGTTGACTGAACACATTTCTCATGGTAAAACAGGAATATCTCTAATGCCAGAAAACAGTTTAAGATGGAGCTATTTGCCAGAAGTAATAGAAAAAACATTTTCCTATGAACTGCTAGACCCCTGTGCAGTTTACTGTATAAAGACGTTTAATACACAGGGCAAGCACTGGCTGATCAGCACATTTCCATTAAAATATTTTCAGTAATTTTGGTTTACTCTAAGAGAGGATGTGCCTGCCTAACCCAAGCCACCCAATGCCAGCTATTTTTCTAAACTACTTTTCAACTGACACTGTAAACGTCATTGTGAAAAGATGTTGAAGAACATCTGCATTTTTGGCTGAGAAAGGTTTTGGGATTTATATTGGTTGGTTTTCACTTCATGATATTGAGTGACAAACATACAGATATTCATAGGAAATTTTTAAAAAAAGGTCTTTATTGATTTCATGCTCAAGACGTCCATAAAACAATCATTTATTTAATTCAAACAACTGTAAATTTGACTTATTAAAAAAAATATATGCCTCACTATGCCACAGTATTTGTAAGAAAATAAACTTCATAATTTGGTAACTTGGCTGTAATAGTATGCGCTTATTTTCTTAGAAGATTTCAAAAGAATAAAAAGTACATTAACTTGGAAAAGGGTGAACAACTAAGCATTTATCAGTTTAACCAAATCATTGAACTTACTTTTTTTAAGCTAGCTATCAACTTTAAGGAGAATATAAAAAATAGGAATATAAACATCATTGACATAACTCCAAAATACAAAATCAAGACTGTACAATAACTAAAAAGGTGTTTCGGATTCAAGTAAGTATTTCCAGTCTTGGCAAAATTCCTCACAAATAGAAGCTATATCTAAACACACATTTGTTACTGGAACACATAATTCTACCATTTCAACATGAAATTTTCATGTTTTATAGTAAAGCCTTGGTGTTAACTTTCTGTTGGTTCAAAACTTTTGAATCAACAAGCAAACATTTTTATTTCTGCAAGCAGAAAAACTGCAATACTGCTGTTTCAGGCCGTTCTTGTTGTCAAATTGTCATTTGCAAGGCAAAAACCTTTACAATGGCACTTTAATAAGGCATCATCCAATTAGAGTTTGCCAAGTTTTTAGAAGTATTTTCATTTCAATTTTTCTATTTGTTACATTTCCATATTATTCAGGTAAATGATCTACAAATACAGATTTTTTATTTATCCATTTTATCATAGAGTGATAACTGAGTAAATTGACTTCCCGATTAAGCCCTGAGCAATCATTAGCCTTCATTAATAATGTTCATAAAAAGGAGATGAATATATTAGACTATGAAACACTCTTTTAAATAGCTACAAACTGTTTTGTCACTGGACATATCCATAATATGGTGGTCTTTGGAAATTTCCGAGGAAGTTATGGTTCCACGAGCTAGCAGTGAAAGAAAAGATGGAGTCTCATGATTTAATTTTTTTGTTCTTAATTTACAATCTGTTTTCTGGAATAAACCTTTATGGGTCAGGTAACTGACTCTCAGAACATTTTCAGTAACCATAAATCATGACAGCCACACTAAGGGAAATCAAGATACAGTAATTAGTATTAGCTGTCAGGCTGGCCCACAGCATTTATTTCTTCTTTAAAATCTTGCATATTGTCCATCCATCAGATACCCCAACTTATACAACATAAAAATCTAGTGTAATTACATTTCTGTTATTAAAAATGTGTTACTCCAGTTTATAATCAAATCTCCACCCAAAACCATATCCTGATCTCACATCATTGGCTGCATTAAAATACACTTTCAGAAGTAAAGCTCCTTAGTGAGCATAGAGACCACACAGGGAATCTGCTTCTTCTCACTGAAGCGTGGATCATCAGATTGTGATTCAAAATTTGTGGCAACCACATAGTTGACCCGTGTGAGTATCTGCATGATCTCAAGTTGCTTTCCATGCTCATTTAGGACAGAGCACAGAGACTGCACAAACCAGGAGCCTCTTCCAGGATTCCTCCAGGAGTAATAACCTTACAGGAAAGACAGATAAGAAAGTACGTGGGGTTATTTTTCCTCTTTTTTCTTATTATTTTATGTTGAAGAATGGAATGGCAGAGAGGTATGTACTAATTTGTGCCAAAGATCCTGGGCAGAGAGTAACAACGCACACACAGAAAGTTTAATTCTTATCACTTGTGTCACATATCCTACTCCACTGAAGTAGAGAATAATGTGTATTCACTCTCCAAACCTCAAACTATTTAAGTACCATTCTATATTTTTGCATTTCAGAAACTGCAAGAAGTAAGATTTCATGTTTTTCCTCTCTAAGAACAAATTTTGTGCTGTAACTGTTCCTCCTCCTGCCTTCATGACATATTAAACATACTCACTAAACTGGAACATGGAGGGGCAGGATTCCCAGAAAACAGTACTGCCTTAGCTGTCTGTAATGTCTGTGTCTTCTCACCTGCCGAATCTGGGTTTCTCCTGTTTCCGCTATAGCTGGTATAAAAGGGGTGGATACAACACACTGGCACAACACACACTGGGTATTAGGGTTTTATCCATCAGTATACAATGTATCATCAATGAGGCTCAGTGTACAATCAAGTCAATATGGGTGATAAGTTTTTAGGCTTCTATCCCCACCCTGACCTCCTTTTGTTTACCTGGCACTGTGGAGTATGCAAACAGAAAATCTGCTTCTACTGGGATTTTGTATCGCGGATTGGCATCTGTTTCCAGAGTGTCATTTGCAGGTCCAGAGTCAGTTTGTATGCCTTCATCAAATTCAGAGCCTCTGCATGCCTGAAAGCAGCGAAAACAAAGAGAACTTGTCCAATAAGGAGAAGCAAGATGTTATAAAAATAAGTATTCATTAACATTTTCTAATAAGATACAGTTTTAAGTAGTACTTCACATGTGTTAGAAGCAGAAATGCAATTCTGGAGGAAATCTAACTGTTCAGTGATAAAGTTACTAGCTTACCCATTTTAAAATACACATCCTGTACAGTAAAGGGAGGTGACGCTGTTGCAGGCTGTGGATCTCAGTGGATTGCCAAAGTGCAAGACAGCATTAGAGTATTCTAACCATGATTAATTTTACTAATCTAGAGTCATCCTCAGCACTCAATTATTACATAATGTCTTGTGCAGTGTGACCTCCAGACTTCTTTACAGTGGGTTACACATTGTCTTTGGTTCCTGAAACACACTGTCGTAGCACTACCTTTCACAGAATACCAAAATCACATCCTGAGATCATCTAGTCCAATCTCCTTTCTCAAGCAGGGACACCTGCAGCAGATGTCCAGGACAGTGTTCAGTTGGGTTTGGAGTATCTCCACACATGGAGACTCTACTGGGCAACCTGTTCCAGTGTTTGAGGACCCATTTCAAGTATATTGCATTTTCAACATTTTTCCCGCCCAAGGGTCTCGTCTAACTTGGGAGCTGG